AAAGTTGAGTTTTTTTTACATTCAAAAGATATTACAAAATGATTTTAAGTGGGGGCGGGGATTAGAAAGTATTTTTTTTTTTTTTTTTTTTTTTTTTTAGGAAGATATACCTGACACTGTGTCAAAGGTGAACTGATGTAGAGCAAGTGGCTCTTGGCCAACAACCAAATTGGAAAGTCTGAACTAAGACAGGGACGGTGTAGTTGGAAAGAATATCCCTGATTTGAGTGAGATTTCTGCTATAAACTCAGCAGGACTCAACCCTTTGCATCTGAGAATGAATAGGACAATCTCAGGAAAGGATGCTGTCAGATGATTTACAATATCCTCAGATGAACTTTAGGCAAGATGGGAAGTAGGGTTTGTAGTTGTTTCTGTAAGGCAGCTCTCATTTATGAATTCTGTTGTAGGAAAAAACATATATGTATACCACATTTGAAACACAAATAATTTGAGAGAAGAACAGTAAGAAAAAGTACTGGGTTTTATGAGGAAAAAATTAAAATTCTGAATCCGCACACCAAAGTTCTTAATGCTTGTAGTGGTAATACATATTCCAGGTAACATCCATGTCAGTTAGTTTTGCAAATTGAGGTGGGCTTTCAAAAGTACACTAAATGAATTGTGAGGGAATTTATGTATTAGTGCATTTGAATGATCAGAGTGCTGCCATTACCATTTGGAAAGTACCCCACATGTGTGCATTTCTGCTTGCATTCTTTTACCCAGCCATTTTCCTTTACATTCCTTAGTGAATTACAGGTAGTGTGTTTTACTTTCATGTCTACTTCCCAAAATTTAGCAGTAGCTAATGAAGAGTTTTTGTGTTTGTGCTGTTTGTTTCTGTAGTAGCTAAATGTGAATTATTTTTTAAGTTTGGCCAGTGACTATAACTGACTTTTTCTGTCAGATAAAATTCTAACCAGATTATCTGAAGAAAGATGCATAAAATTTCTCTATGGATTGTGTTATGTTGGATTATCAGTTTTATGTATTTGTTACGCAGCTGAAGAGTTAAATTGGGTAATAAATCTCTCAATGGGTATTAAGTGCTATGATGTGATCTGCCAAGTTTTGTAAATCAAACACTTGGCACAAATGTTAACCCCTAAGCCATTCAAACAAAGTTGAGCATATTTCATGGTAGTATGCATTTATATGAGGATACTTCAAAAAGTTCATGGAAAGATTCGTGTTATCCTTCAGTTCTGTTTTGACATGAACTTTTTGTAGTACCCTCATATTTATCTGCTTTCTAAAGGCTACTACTTATATGTAGATTTGCTTTCAATATTAAGGAACAAAAACAATATGTACCTCTAATATGTATTTCTAGACTTGATGTTACTAAAAGTTAATATAAATAACTTTAAAGTCAATACATGCTAGGATTAAAGGTTAAAACATGGTTTTCCCTTATATTAAAATATCCCCCCAAAGCATTTAGTTTGCTAGTAAAGTGATTCTTTAGTGAAGTACTTAAAAAAATAAATATTTTTTGGCACTTCTGATCTTTTTTAGATTAAGAAGACATATTGTAGCCTTTTCTACCACACCCATATTTGTTACTCTTCTTCACATGAATAAGTGATTTGCAGCCTAAATACCTATTAATAAAAACAAATATTAAGGTATGATACAATTAGAATCACTAGGTCTTCTTATAGTAACTTACACTGAGATCGGAAATCTTCGTCAAGGCTTGTCTCAGGTATAATATGATAAAAATGCTCAATTTAAAAATTTCTTAAAGTTTAGTTTTTAACCTGAGGTCAGCATACCTTTCTAAATATAATGAGATTACCTGAAGTTTAATATAAAACTTTGTGTGAATGTACCTTTTTATTGCAGGGGAGAAAGACTAGTTTTCATCAGATTCTCAAAATGGTTCACAACTCTAAAGTGATTAAGAATCAGTGGATTATAAAATGTATTCTAATATTCAGTTTCGTAATTGCTGTAACAAACTATTGAGTGCCACCAAGAGGCAACCTTAATATATTATTTTTTGCTTTTGTCTTATTGAACTTTTAATTTACAGTAAAATCATATCTATGTATAAATGTTTCCCCTCTTCCTTTTCTGCTCATGTCTTTACAGTGCATTTTAACAGAAGATGGCAGTCAGTATGTATATAAGAAACTCTGTCTGTGTGCTGGAGCTAAACCAAAGTTGATATGTGAAGGAAATCCTTATATATTAGGAATCCGTGATACAGACAGTGCTCAGGTAACTTTTTCTACATCCGAACCAAAGTGTTCCATTTATAATGTTAATTCCTAAACTAAGAGCAGAGGTTTTTGTTTCATGACCCATAAACCAGAGAGTGGTTATAATTTTTTGTTACTGCCAATTTCAGTTTGTTTTTAGTTGATAATTTATCCTGTTTTTTAGTTCATGCTGATGTCCTGTGTTCTTTTAGTTGAGATAATTCAGATATAACAACTGTGCTAAATGTTAGAATTTGTGTAACACACATATTTGTTACTCTTCTTTATGTGAATATGTGATTTGCAACCTAAATAATATGTCTTTTTCCAAGAAGGTAAAGAATATCCAAAATATACTGATGTTCTTCTCCAGCAAAGAAATTAATATTCATGAGATCTATATGACACAGTCATGATAGAATTATAGAACTGAAAAAGTCAGTTGATTTATCGCTCTGACTTAGAACAGTGATAAACTATCCCAACAGGTGAAAATTCTGTACGGGCAGAATACAACTTTGGGTAATTTATTTCAGGGTTTATTAACCCTTATTGCCAAGAAGCTCTTCTTGGTTTCATCACAGTACTGTCTTACCTCAAGCTTATTTTTGTTCTGTCCTGTGAGATAATGATTTTGCATTTATACAATATTTTATCGTCTTGAAAATTGATGTTTTCTATCAGCCTATTCTCTTAGTCAAATAATTAGGAATTTAGAGAAAACTAAAAGAACTTGATTATCTTCTTGTAAACACTTTAGGTTCATATTAATAGAGACTGAGCTCATCACTGTTTTAGCTAGGCCTTCTACAGACATGAACTCACTGAATCCTCATAATCCTCGGTGACAGGTATTACTCCCACTTTACAAATAGGAAACTTTAGAGGTTGAGAAATTAAGTATTTAAAGTAGCTGTTTTATCAGATTTACAATTTGAATTTATGCCTTCATCTCTGTGTCCTGTGCTTTTTACAGATCTTTCTTAAATTGCACTCCCCTCAATGAAGGACAAACCAAAATTAACTTAAGGGTTTTTTTCTTGTGGAATTTCAAAGAAGTCAATTTTAGTGAATACTATATGTTTTGGGGTCAATTCCGTAGAAATGGTAACTTAGTAGTAGGAGGAATTTTTCTGTTCAGTTGTCATTGAGAACCAGTGAAACTATTCTGTACTTTTTAAAGTGTCAAAAATGACAACTGGCTTCTCCAAGCTCATTGTGGTCTTTTTTTCTGGGGTGTGGAGGCATCAATTAGCTGTCTTGTAATGGTAATATTTTTTCTGGTAAATGTCAGACATCATTATATGCCTACTACACCTAACAGCTTTATCTACATCATCTCACGTAATCTGTACAGAAAGCTTAGGAGATCAGTCACTTATAATTTCTACTTACAGTGGATGAACTTGAGGCATAGGAGGTTAAGCAATTTGCCCAAGTTCATCCAGTTAATAACTGCTAGAGCCAGTGACTCCAGAGTCTGTGCTTTTAACCACTATGCTGCTATGCTTCTCATTCCTCAAAGTTTTAGGTGTTGAGTGATTCTAGGGAAATGTGTCAACTGAGAGGCTAGGCAAAAAGAAAGAATAATTAATTTGGTCAAATAGTTGGAAATGTGATAAACTAAAGAAAATGCCCGTTGCTGAAATTCTGAAGTACTCTAAATGTAACGACATAAAAGGCAAGGAAAATCAGGAGAGGCATTGCTATAAAGGCAGCTTGGGAGGGGAACATAAAGGTGAACATTTGTAATATTAATTGGGAGGGTACATCCTGGCAGAGTGGGAAAGTGAGATTTATTTTGTTGTTCCTTTGTAAATAAGATAAAATACTTAAATTTTTAGGATCTTGCTTCAGGTATTGCCCACTATTACAAAACACTATCTCCTTATTTTCTTTTTAATATAGGAATTTCAGAAACAGCTTACGAAAGCTAAAAGAATAATGATCATAGGGAACGGTGGTATTGCACTTGAGTTAGTGTAAGTATATGTTTTTAAATATTATTTAAGAATTGCTCTTTGATTTATGTGATTATTGGCACACTAGAAACCATCATTTATCCTGAAAATCAAAAGATAAATATAATTGATTTTATTATGTTTCCAAGGAGAAAAATCCATTTTATTTTTTACCTTTCATGAAATCCATAGTTGCAGAAATTTCCTTATAAAACATAAATGTTTCAGGAATGTTTTAGGTCTTAAGGGGTCATATACTGGTGACTGTCAGATTTGACCCATAAATGTGTATTATAAACATGTACTGTGTTTAAAAATAATTTCAGGGCCAGCCCCATGGCTCACTCGGGACTGTGCGGCGCTGGTAGCACCAAGGCTGCGGGTTCGGATCCTATATAGGGATGGCCGGTGCACTCATTGGCTGAGTGTGGTGCGGACCACACCATGCCGGGGGTTGCGATCCCCTTACTGGAAAAAAAAAATAATAATAATAATAATAATTTCAGTGTATACACCTTTAGAAGTTTCTAGTTATAGCCTCTATCACTTTTTATTGCTTATACCCATTCTGCTTCACTCATTTATGTTACCTGTGTGGCCAATGAAACCCAAAATGTTTGTGACTCATATGTGGTACTCTTGGCTCTTGGTTTTAGGAAGTTTGAGAAATGTGAATACATTGACTAATATGAAATATTTTCATGTTAAGATGATATTTCAATTCAAAAAACATTGAGAAATATCCTGCTGTGGCCGCAGAGCTTTGATTGAGTTTCTTTGTGATTTCATCTTCCAGCAGATGGCTGACTTGAAATAGTCTGGATCTCTTTCAGGCCAGAAAGTTGGGTCAAACCACAAAGAGGACAAATGTGAATCAAAATAAGGAATCTGCCAAAGCCCTGTCTTTGCTCACTTAATTCACTCCAACTCTCAGACTAGGTTTTTGCCCCTCTTTTAGAGGATGGAAGACTGTAAGAATTCTTAAATTGCCTGTGTACTAGAGGTGGCAGTCATTATTGTGATTACAAAGGTTGTGGCATTATATGGAGAAATGCAGAAAAAGTTATGCATGTAGGCCAAGAGAGGGGAGGTACACATTTATTGTAAAAGGGGCTTCAAATCTTTACATATAAAAATACATGACAGATTTTATCCATCAGCTATCACCAAAAATATCACTTAATAGTATTCTAATAATTATGATTTGCATTTATAAGCTTTCTTATCTTCAGAAGTTTAAAGTTTCACATTTATTCCACATTTTCTTTAGGTTGAAGATTGAAGAGTGTATAATCGGATAAAATTCATAATTTTGTATTCAGCAAGCTCTTTGATAATTTAAGACAGGTCCCATATAGTGCTATTCTCTGAGTTTAAGTCCAATGAATGATTAGGTATTTGTCTCTCGTAATGAAAATGACCTATCCAAACCCTTTATATTCTTTAATACCCCTGGTGTTCCACTTAGGCTAATACTAATTTTTTTCAGTACACTTTTATTTCAGTTATTATCTGTTTTTTCCTTCCAAGTGTAAGTCAATCCTTTCCTTTTCAAATAGACGGTTTTTCATAATCTTACAAAACTGTAATATCACTGTTGTCTGTTTTTTTAGAGGGGTTTTAAAAATGAAAGCAGTATTACCCCTATGCATGATTTACCTTTAAGCCTGTGTATCTTTCTGAGAGCATAGTTCAAGTTAGAAGAGGATTAGAGGGTGTTCTGTGAGGTAGAGCAAATACAGGAGTTACTTCTGGTGGTTACTTGTAATAACTTTGCCCTGCTAGTCAATCACCAGTATTTTAAACTACACTGGTATGTCTTATACTGTTATGTTACTTTAAAATGTGAAAAATGATAATATAGAGAAATTTCCAGTTTATAAAAAGGAAAGCATTTCATGATAACTATATGGCTATATATAAACAAATATAAAATTTATTACCAAAT